TAGACTATTGAAAGCAAAATATTGCAAAGTTTTAGACTGCAGTATATATGTCAAATCCTCTCAAAAAGTAGAAATCTGCAATTACATGCTGAAATATTACCTCACTTACCAACTGATATGGTCCAAACAGCAATTATTTTGGCAAAAGCCTTAGTTCTTGAGTTAAACCGGCTGTGGTGGATGGGGTTTCGAATGGCAATATAGCGATCCAGTGAGATGGCACAGAGATGCATGATGGAGGCAGTGGAGAAAAGCACGTCCAAGTAAATCCAAATGGCACAGAGCTTTGTAGGTAGAGGCCATGTGTATCCTGCACAAGAGAAAGTTGACATCAGATAAAGATGTGGCATACATCTTTTGCTGTGACACATATGTCGTAGTGGGGAATGTCTTTCTAGAAGGATAGTAGTAAGTACTAAGTAGTAGTAAGTGGTATGTTCAATAGAAGCTGCCTGACACTGTTTAAAGAAAATATTTTCATTTGCTTGCAGCCTTCTAACTCTGTAGATTCAGGGTTAACTCTGCTTCTTTCCCAGGCTACAGGCAGCATATGTTTTTTCTTTTTAATTCTATTTGCATAATGCTAATGCCTGATGCTATAATTAACCATTTTTGGCAGCAAATCTATGGAAAGAGAAGCAATTTTGTCATTGTAAACCTGCAAGTTCTCAATTTTGTTTCAGGACTTTTTATCCACATAATTACTGCATTATCAACACCTGCTGATACACTAAGCTGCCTGAATTCTGAAACTGAAACATTGGATTTAGTGGCAGCTGAAGAAAAAAAATTATTTTGTTGCATACCAGTGATATTTATCTCACCTGTCTTTAAGCATCGACCATATACTTGAATAAGGATATTCCCTCTATCAATACATATTGATAGACTCCTCCAGGGAACACAATGCATTAGTGTTTACCAATATCCAACCCTACAGCTTCTTTGCTGCAAATTAAGCCTTCCCTTTTTCCTTGTTCTTTCCACTACCCATGAAGATTAATTGATTGCTTTCTTTTCTGGAGGCTATTGGAAGATGGCTATCATGTCTTACCCAGTTTTGTGCTTACTTTTTTTTTGTCTTCCAGACTAAGAAAAGCCAAGTACTTTGTCTTTTTCTTACAGATCACGCTTTTAAAACTTTTGTTCTTCTTTTTTCTCTGCCCTAGAATCTGTTTAATTTATCTGCATCTTGTATACCATTCAGTAACTAAAACAGGACTCGGTACTCTTGCAAAGGCCTCCTGACTGCTAAGTGAAATACAAGATTGCTTCATGGGTGTTGAATGGAATGTCTTTACTTAGGCAACCTGGAATGATGAGTGCCTTTTGTATGAAAATATCATGCTAGATATGCATGTTTAGCTTATGATACATTTTGACAGTCAGACCTTTTTCATCATTCTTGAAGCCTGGACAAACTTCCCCAGCAGAAGCTGGTTTGCTTCTTTACTTCTGCATTTACCCCCACGAAATGGTTGTTGATTTCAGACTTTCTCTTCAGGGGTCAAGATGCTTGTTGAGGACTCTCATCCTGTCTCTCTGAGTGCTTGTAACCTCTCCCAGCTTGGTGCTTTTAGAAAGCTGTGTAAGCTCAAACTCCATAGACTTATATGAGTTGTTAGGAGCAGTACTGAGCAGACTCAGGTTAAACAGAACCCTGCAGGACCCCCCTCCAAAGGCCCTTCTATTCCTGCAGGGAATCACCAGTAAGTCTCCTTGGAGCAAGTTTTGCAGTTATCCATGTCCTTATCTGATTTGATTTAGTGATTTAATTTAGAGCCTATTATCCAAGTGGCCTGTGACAGTGTGGCATGGGGCAATGCCATAGCTCGTATTGTGAGAATATGTTAGTATTTTGGGGAGTGCCTGTCTCCTTTGGAGACACAGTACAAGATTTGCAACAGCAGGAATGGAGGGAAAGGCAGAGGAGTTCTGTGCCTAACTAAATTTAGTTTCAGTGGGCACTGAGGAGACCTATTTCTTGGTGCTCTTGAACTGGTCTAATATAAGCTGACCCTGACAAGCCATACAGAATTTATGGATGTGTTTTATCATGATTTCTGGCCTTTCAATGGGAAATCTGGTCTCCAGAGTGCATTACATGATGGCTGGCTTTCAGAGGCATGACTTCCCAACAGCATCCCTCTGTCAGGTCAGGCCAGTTTACACAGGGAAAAGCATTTAAGTATTTTTGCCCTTGACAACATACATCTGTTCTCTTGCTTCAGTGACCTTCAGGAACACATTTGTCACATCTTTCTAGACCTCTTGTCCTTGCTATAAACCTTAATGGGGCAGAGATAAAACAGCATCTGCCAGATAAACTTCCTTGAAGTCTACAGGTTCAAGAGAGGGGAAAGTATGACTAAGAAAACTCTGGATGCTGTAAGACTTTGGAAGGGTGTATATAATATCCTCCAGGCAATTTTCTGCTCTGTGGGCACATCCATCTTGGTAGGACTTGCTGGTTGTCTTTTTTTCCAGCAAAGGCTAGTGCTGCTGGGTAGATGGGGAAACCTGCCTGGCCCAAAAGGTGCAGACTGGGGCAGGCACATAGCTGGTATGGCTGGGCACCGGAGCCAGAATTGCCAACAGTAGCTGTAAAGCTCTCAAGAAGAAAATCATCTCTCTCTGGAGCAAAACAGTCACCGTACCCCTTTGAGGGGTTGTGGAAGGGATGGCGGAGCACCCTTGTTCCACAGCCTCTGAGGTGTCCTGGCAGAACAGGTGTGTGCAAAGGCTGCCAGTTTGGGTTCAAGACTGCCAACATGTGATAGGGTTGAAGTTAAGCAGCGGAGGCCGAGCAAATGCTGCTGTGTAAGGGGAGGTTTCCCTCCGTGCCATCACTGGTCATCCTGGAGGTTGACGGTGCACCACACCCCGACGGCTCTCCTGGTACCTGTGTCCATCACCAGATGATTTTCTACCCCAAGTTACGCTGCAAAGGCCTTCCGTTCCTGGTCTTGCAAGGGAAAAACCATGAAGAGAGGAGGCAAAGTCAACACAGCCCCTCCCCTGCGTGCCCTGCTGCTCCTCCGCTCCAGCCGTCGCCAGGGAGGGCGGTGCCGCCTTTCCCCGCGATGAGGGCTCCGGCTTCACGGCGTGTGGGAGAGAGATCCAGCGCCCCAACCCCCAAGTCCCTCCCAAGCCGCGGATTTCGGGAGCCTCTTCCCTCGGCAGCAGAGCCTGGCCAGCAGGAGTCCCTGTTGCTTGTCTCAGGGAATCGCGCACGACTTAAATCTCACCCATCGGACAATTTCTGTTTCACACTGTTTCTCCCACCGAAGGTAATCGCACACTAATGCAATAAATCACAGAGTCACACCATCACTGATGCTAAATGCAGTTTGCAAATGCTACGGAGGGCAATCTGTGTAGAAATACTGAAAATGGAAAATAAACTCAGTTTTCTGGATGAAATCTCCCTTGAGTCACAGGTTCATGTTTAGACCTTTAGTCCCAAAATAGTGAAGCGATAGAAATCTTTGTAAACAATCTCACTTTCCCCATGACGTTGTCTAGCTTCTTCTCGAACTGTAGCAATTCAGTTGTGGCACTGGAAACTCATTTCTGAAGTTTAGAGATAGTAGCAGCCTGACAATATTGTTAGTGAACACATAGGGTGCTGCTTTTTCCTTACGTGAGCTTGCTGCAAGTGACTTTGGTGAAAATGAGAAGAAAGAGCTGCTATTAATCACCTGCAAGGGCATGAACTGTGAGCCATTATTAACTTAATTTTCAAATAACTTCTCTTAAGAAATTATAGCTTTGCATTTGTAAATGTTACTAAAAAAATTAGGCAGAATTAATTCCTCCATCCATTTTTTAACTCCCAAAATATTTATCCCAGCATTTGCTGGTAAGTAGATGTCTAAGCAGGGTCTTGGGGAAAAGAAAATTATTTACATTTGTATTACTTCATTAAAAATAATTGAAGGGTTACCTACTTTGAATCTAAAGGTGCTTCTGTGCATATTTGTAGAGCAAAGTAACTGGCAGGACCCTGCATTCTTATTAGGAAAAATAAAATTATAAGCCAGGGTAAAAATCCTGAAAGCAATAAAGAAAACAAAGCATCTTCATAGACACTTTGAGACAATTCATTCAGCAATTGAGTAATAAGCTAACATCCTGGACTGTGTTTAAATGCCTGTAACTAGAAATATAAAGCAGGAAAATATTCAAGTACTTCACCTATTCCATCCATCAACCAGTTACATATATTTCAACTTACATGGAATGATTACAATTTTCTGTAGTGAGAGAATGAAATAATAATTACAACAGGATGTGCATGCAATGTTTAAAGCTTTTCAGTACATGCAGTAGGTTATACAGCAAATACTCACCGTACAGTATGGTTAACATTGACACAGGCATGACAAGGAAACCCAGCAGCATATCAGCTATTGCAAGTGACATGAGAAAATAGTTAGTGGCATTCTGTAGTTTTTTCTCCAGTGAAACAGCCATGATGACAAGAATATTTCCAGCAATGGTTAAAACAATCACTATCACTGTCAGCAAAGCTGGCCAGTTTTTCTGTGAAAACTGAATCAGGGAAGAGTAGCACGGTGGACCTGCATTACTTTCACATGAAAGATTGGTTAGATTTTCAGAGTCCACAGTCAAGTTAATGAGATGCGATATATTAATCTCTCCAGCTCCATAAACATTTCTGTAAAGTCTTCTCTCCTGATTTATCTGTATGAAGGAGTTTGCAGTTGGGTTCACAGAGCTCTCCTCATCACAAAGAATATCCATTGCTAAGTCCAAAACCACAGAGATAAATAGTGAAAAACAGGAAACTATTACCCTTTGCCACCATTGGGCATTATATTCCTCAGCTGTCCATGCCAGAAGTTGAGGGAGCACAATCTTTTGTCGACTGTATTCTTGCCACTAGTGTGATGTAGAAAAACATACCAGAATTACTCCAAAAGCTGAAATGTTTTGTTTTCAGTTCCATAGGAAGTCCAGTGTTGGCATACATTGAAAATTCAGCTGAAAAGCAAAACCAGGCTGTAGGATAGAGAACGTGGATTTGAGGCTTCAGAGAGCAAAGATGTTGGAGAAATAAAAGAGAAAAAACTTTTGCAACCACTAGGACTCCCCTCTGGAGCTACATCTTATTGCTATTGGTAACTGTAATCACACAATTTTAAACACAGCAGTATTAAAATAGCTTGCCATATTAAACAGCAGAGCTCTTGCTTCCCTATTAAGAAAGTTGATTGAAGATTCCATCCAGCATCTTTCTCTTGAAATAATTCAATATGTCCTTATTTATAGTGCATCTTTCATAATATGGCTGATAGTCTCTGTCTTCTGTTGTATTTCAGTATCATTTTCAGCCTCATATCAGAGATTACACATTCTGCTCCATGCTGATTTTTGTGGCTAATTGTACCTTTTGGCCCAGCATGGTTTCGGAATGGAAATTAAACAACTAGATACTATTACAAAAGAATACAATTTAAGGAAGACTTACATTGCACTTCAGAGCCCACTTTCAAACTGCAGTTGGATGCACTTTGTACCCTGCTTTACCATATTCTTCACTATATTTAGCCAGTTTTGTGCCCTTTTTCTTCAGTCTCCTCCACAATGCTGTAATTTGAAATAGTTTTTTGACTTCTAAACTGCATACTTGAGTGAAGCCAGTTCCTGTGCTGTGAGTCTTGCTCTTTTCTTCTGAGAGATAGGCTGCTTGCCGGCTCTTTCCTTGTGCATTTCCCCGCCCCAGGGCAAGCTATATTTAAAGTAATAACAATATCAGAGCCCTTCTTGAGGTGACACAAAAGAAAGCACATGCACACACTCACAAAAAAGCAGCCTCCTCGGAGGAATTACTGATTTCAACAGGAATGTAATTTCTTGCTCGCTGTCTTGTTCGGGTTGTCAGACCTCCCACTATCTGGATGTCATAAACTGCAAGGTAGTGACAGCAGAGGAGGGCAGGGGAGGGCAGACCAAAGAGGGTCTTTTAGGTAAACCAGCAGCTTTTTCAACTCCTCATTTTTCAGAGGTTGTCTGCTTGGGGGCTTTTTCAATGCGTGCTTTCAATTTGCAGCGGATGGCTCACAAACAGCTGCATGCAATTACAGGGATTTACAGGATGCAGGCTTGAGGGAGAAAAAAAATCCAAGGCTTGGTAGATTAGATCTGGTAGTATCTACATGAGATGTGGTAGATACTAGTGAAAAATATAAGTGAGAATCTTTTTCCCTATAGAGAGGAAATTACACCAGCCTTAAAAGGAAGGTGTAATATTCAGTTCCCTTCAGTTTTAAACTCCTGGTCTGTGGTAATATATTTACAAAAACTTGAAGTCACTCTGATATCACACTCATTTGTCAGGAAATGGATGTAACAGCTAATCCCAGTAGCCTGTCCCAAGCAGGTATCCCAAATGAAGCAGTTCTGTAAGGCAAAACAATGCACAGCAGAGGGGAAACAAAACAGCCTGCCACTGCTTCTACCTTGTACCTCTGCTGCCAGGACACCGATGAAGAAACAGCCAACTCTTCAATTTGCTGCCTAACACAACAACTACTCCCAGATTTTCTGAGACTTAGAATTGTCAAAATTTCAGCTGAGTAGATCTTCTGCATCCTGAAATATATTGCAGATTTCCCTCATGTGGAGGGCAATGGCTTTATACAGGTAGGTTCAGGGAGTTTACTGTGAGAACTCAGAGAAGTGTGAGTGTCGCTGGGCACTGACGGGTCCAGGCAGGCCCTTGGGAGCTACAGGCTGCTCCCATAGCTCAGCTCTATGTGCAACATCACTAACTCCACTGTAGATCCCAGGGAGCTGCAAACACATGAAGCATTACAACAGCTCACGTGACATGAGCTAATCTCTTCACAGACCAAAATCTTACCAAAGTGAATCTTGGAGCACCCGCCAAAGTCCATTCAGATAATTGAGGCACAGTTACAGAGAGCATATCACAGCAAAGTTCCTTTGGAGCCAGTTTTACTCCCAGATGAGCCCAGTGAGGTGGGGCTGACAGTCAGTATCTCTTACTGATGTCCATGTGGGATTTGGAAATGTATCATCCCAGTATTAAAGTTTCCCACTCGCATAGGTGAGGCCAGAAGACCATCAGGCAACACAGATTGATAAGAAAAGGTGATTGTGCTGAATTTAGAAATGTTTCAGCCCTTGCAGTCCTTCCAGGATCCAGAAGGCCTTTCCTTCTCTCCTTTAGTACAATAACCAAATGAGTTACTGTGTTCACCAAGTGAATTTGTTCTCCCTGCTCTAGAGGGTCGGGCAGCCATCCCTGTGAAGATGACCTTGACATGAGAGTGCAAATCTGATGCAGAGTGGATTCCACTTCTGTGAAAAATAGGGCACAAGACCTGTTGGCTAGGACTACATATACTCCTCTGTGAGGAACCCAAGTGACCTGTTATTTTCTTAGGTTGCTGCTTCTGGGCTCTGACAGCTCTAGTGTAACAGTCATGGGTGTGTTGTGGATGGAACGCACTTGTAAATAAAGAAGTAGCAATATGTTTAGAGATATAAACCAGAGATTTAACAAAGCTTGGTAGTAAATGCAACAGTGTTTTAATAAGATTTGATGGCAAGATACACTTAATTATTTACTGTGCAGAGGACAAGGACAAACAAGTTGTCGAGGAGACCCACCTGTTGAGTCGTGAGGTTCAGAAAGCATCCTTGTGTTTTAAACACCTTTTCAGGATGGAGTTTATGTGTGGTTAAATCCAGACTTGGTCCCAATCTTGGTCAGTAGTTTATGTCTGAAGAATTATATGTGCACAATCCATCCTTTATATCACTTAGCTAAGACTTCAAAGTTTAGCCTGCCATTAAGCACTTACTGAGAATCTACTGAGTCAAGGAATACCTTAGCTTTTAGGAATAACCTCGAGAGGCATTGCTACTCAAGGGAAGTTCCTGGCAAGCAGCCTACTGTCCTTCAGGAGAGCTCAGTGAGCCCTGTGATGTCCACTATTTATGAAGAAATACAGTTGACTTATAGTCATGTTTGTGTAACAACTATAGAAGTTACTTTTTTCCCAACTTGACCTGAGTAGGACCTTGACAAGCACTATGATTGCAGGGCGTACAATGACTCATTTAAAACTGCAGCTCTGCTCTGGACAATAGGAACACGAAAGTGAAGTGCAAACAAGTTGAATGTTTCCTTGTCTAAGATCTTTGCAGGTACAGTCATAAGCACTTCATATAAGGACTGCACCGTTTACTTTGGTCTAGCTGTAGACACGTGACCACAAGGTCTGAGAGCCTTATGAAAACTAATCTGTCCCCTCCCCAAAACTATTTGACATACTGAGGCAATATTTGAAACTGAGGCAAAATTATATTAAATGGGTTTTTAAACTTTGCACGTGAGACATGGATGAATCATTAGCCACTTTGGCATAGGCCAGTATATCAGAGACGAATCCATGATCTTCTGTCTTCTAGCAAAGTATGTTGGATATGCCACTGATCACAGACTTGTTTTATTATTTATCTCAGGATTTTTTTTTTTTTTTTTTTTTTACTGCAGAAAACACTCCTCCCACCTCTCCCCCAAGAACTCAAAATTATTTTCCTTCCAGATAGTATCATTGCAGGGGTCCAGCGAAAAGGGCTTCCACAAGTGCTCTCCTCACTTGACAAAACTAGGCGTGCACCATACCTTGAAAGAGCAGTGTGGTACAACTCCTAAGTGATTAATCATGTCTAAACCCATCCTTGACCATTGCTTTTCCTAAAGGTGGAAAGTTCTGGTCCCATGATCTTCCATTTTTAAAAGAACAAGCTTGCAAGTTGATAGCAGCAGAGCCTCACACACTGTGACCTGCAATCCCAGGCAGAGAGTCTGCACTGAAAAACAGGCAGCTGCAGTCGGTCCCAGTCTATGTAAATTAAGTGAAATCTTAGCTTAAAATGGCGATAATGTGGTCTGCATTAGACAGAAAGCAGTCTCTAGAAACACAGCTGGCATGAGAACAGTCTACATATTGCTTTTTAATTTCTGGAAGGCACCAACGTATCAAATTCATGAGAACCCCTCCTCTGTTCCCCAGCTCTGCTTGGAAATTTTTTGTAGGACATTAATCTGTTCTTTTGGGCAGGGTTTCTGTGCTTGGCATGGTGCATATAAACACTTCCAGGAAAAGCTGCTTTTCAACAATTTTATCTGAAAGACTGGAAATAAAAAGCCTAGTTTGCATTATTCAAATATGGTGCTCTCAGGATTATTTCAGGTGTAAAAATCCCCCATTTCTGAGTATGCCATTGCTCTCTGATGTTTTGAGTACGCTGTGTAATCAGTAAATGTATAAACTGCAAAGATTAATTGTTCACTCTGATATCTAAAAGTGAGGGAAGTGGAATGTGAATAATTTATGTTGTGGCTGAGACTACTACAATTTGGTATGTCTGTTTGCATTCATCGGGGGCTGTTGGACACAAATCAGAGGCTAGTTATTACAGACCAGAGCAAATAACTATGTACTTCTGCTCTCTTTTTGATGCAGTTGAGCTCATTCTGTGCCTCTCAACCTCCATGACCCCATGCCATTGCAGTGAGGTGAGAACAGCTTGACATGACCTTTCTGAAACCCACACTGGAGCAGCGTCCCTAAGCCTTGCTGTCCACAGGCAATGATCCAGAGCAAGCTGGGAGTTGCAGCACCAGCACCCTCTGTCCTGATGACTGTAAACCTGAGGAGAGTAACTGGTGTGTTGTTGTAGGGCTCTCTGCTGAGAACCTGGCTGTCTGTATTGATTCAGTCTGGACTGCTTTTGAATGACAATGGAATATTAGAAGCTGGGGCTGAAGAAGAAGCTGGAATAATTCAATGTAACTACAATTTCTAAGTGCACTATATTTTTAGCAATCTGTAAGAAATAAATATATATCATATATATGTATCTATATATCTCTATGTATATCTATATAGATAACTGAAACTCTATAAACTTTCACATCTACCTCACACACAAATGCTAATTTCAGTCTCTCTACAACCCTGGGAGAAGCTGGGCTTATCTCCTACATTTAAAAGCCTGATTGTCTCATTCATCCGTGAGTTTTGGAAAGATGTACAGTATTCCACGTGGCTTGTAGGGTGTCCTCCTTTCTAACCACATGTTATTTTTTCAGGATCTGCAAGCTCCTCAACATACTTTCAGTCCCAAGGAGAAGCTAAATATGAGAGAGAAACTGGAGCACCTTACGATACATCTTTTATCTACCTTAAGCTGTGCACTGAGGTCAGATCAGTAACATTGCATCTCCAACCCCTTTAGGTTGATATGATTCCAGTTTCATTCCAGAGGAGCTCAGTGGAATAATTGTGGCATCAAACTGATGTAATGATTAGTTGCTTGGAAATTGGAGTCAGAATTAATTTTTTTCTCTTGTACAATTTTTATTATTTAAACATTCCTTTCCCCATATCAATTTTTTTTTTTTTTAATTGGAGGAAAAGTTATGAAGAACTTCAGTTTGGAAATATCCAGACATTTTGCTTCAGTCTTGCTGATCTAAATGTAACATTTTAATATTGTTGAATTAATAATATTTTCTTATGAGCCAGCTAACCGGCTGAGATGCAAATTATCTTATTCCAGATTCTCCTGGGCAGTTCACATCCACCATAATAGCATACCTGGAGGCAGTTTCAAGTTGAACTGAGTTGAAATAAAATATTCTTGTTCAGTTAAAAAATAAACTGAAACATATGGTTCGGGTCAAGTCCACATGGTGAAGGAAATTTTTTTGTTTTGATTTTCCCAAAGGAAAACTGAATGCTTTGGGCAAAATTAATTTTTTTCTTGAGTTGGTTTTGTGGAAACT